GGGGAAAATAAACACTTTTACCGACAAAAGGAGTGAGTTTTGTTCTTCTTTGTGATATAACCCTGCCACTAAAAAGAATAAAGTTGATTCTGAAGATAATGTAGACACTTAGGAGCTTAGTAGATCACATGTCATGGCGGCTAGAACCGAAAATTGGGTTTACTTGTCTTTCCAGCAAGCCTTTTAATATCCAAATTCTCAAACACTTGCACACTTATATGTGCCAAAAAAATTGAAACCAATATAACTTCCGAGCTCGCTACTAGGGATGTTTAGACAACTTGTTTGGTATTTTCATTCCTCAAAGTATTATAGAGTCGAAATGTTTCATTATTTTTATAAGAAGTGGATTCGGATACCTCATATTTCGCATCATGTCATGAATGTTTGTTTTTATTAAATAAACTTCAAACAAACTTTAGAAAATTTTCTTAAATTTAGAAATTTCCTTTTATGCAAAATCTTTGTCAGCGTCCAATAAATCCAAATCGTAACAAATATTTTCAAGTAGAGTCTCAACCCCCAACATTTAGAGTCGGGTTCAAAGCGGCAATACAAGTTATAATAGGAGATGTATTTTCAAAATATTTATTTAAACTTTGATTTCATCGGTTTCACCATATTAGCAAACATTACACCTCCGATTTCAAACTCGTTTATTTTTTAACACATTAAAAAGATTTGGTTTAAAACTAAATAACTAGTAGGATAATCCCCCCCCCCTCCCCCCCCCACGCGATAAAATTTTAGTTACTTTTTTAAAAACTCCAAGCATTTCCGAAACAAGTTTGATAGTATCTCAACTCAATTCTGGATAAGTTGTAACCTAATTAGGACCTGACCAAAAGGCGTTCGCAACGGCACAAAATTTCATATAATTGTGTTATTGAGCATTAGAAGAACTATAAATATTTTGTAGCATTTGTATGAAGGGAAAATGGCGCAACTGCCCATTATGTATTTCGATTTTACCATTTCAGTCTCTAAAGCTATTTTCGTGTCCCTTAACGGCAAAGTTGATGTCGACCTTGGTCACTACAATTTAATATTAAAGCTGATGTGGCTTATGATTTGAAATTTTTTTAATAATAATAATAATAAAAGAATAATCAAAATTGAGGCCCACCATCTCTCTCTCACACACACCACCAACTACGATCACCAAATCATGCTCCATATCATCCAATTCAAAGACACAGAAGAGGGTTTACCTGCCGGAAGTGAGAACCCCGATCAACCCGTTTCTGATGAGTTCTTATCCATTTTCTTCGAAGCCATGTCCATGCTTTTGGAGCCTGTAGAACAATTTATTCGTGAATCCCACCCAAATTGCATCATTGCAGACATGTTTTATCCATGGAGTACTCTGAAATGGCTGCCAAATTCAACATTCCCATAATCGTTTTCAATGGAACTGGGTTCTTTCCACTGTGTGGCAAACGCGGTGGCACTGTTTGATCATACCAAAAATGTTTCATCTGATTCGGAGCTTTTTGTCGTCCCTCATCTTCCCCATGAGATAAAGTTCACTAGAAAGCAACTGCCTCAGTTGGACTCAGACGCGTTTAAAGGTTTCATGAAGGTGTTTATTGAAGCAATAGAAGCAGAGATAAAGAACTACGAAGTGATTTTTAATAGCTTCTATGAGCTTGAGACGGAGTACGTTCACCATTAATATTATCGTGAAGTAATGAACAGGAAAGGATGGCATATAGGACCAGTTTCGTTATGTAACAAGAACACATAAGATAAATTCAAAAGAGGGAAGAAACCAGCCATTGATGAACACAATTATCTGAAATGGTTGGAACGATTGTGAAAGTAACTCGCTCTCAAGTTTACGAGATCGCTATGGGGCTTGAAGAAGCATGCAACAAAGATTTCATTTGGGTCATCAAGAACGAACACGACCGGTGACTGCCATAATTCAGGGGTAAGTTCAAGAAATGTAAGAACGGATGGAAATGGAATTAGCAATTCCTTTAGCAGCAAGGTGGTTCCTCCGACTTTGAGAGAGAGAGAGAGAGAGAGATAGATGAGTCATCGGAGAGAGAAATGGGTCTCATCGGTTATTTTTTTGTTTTTTTAAATTGTTAATAATAAAGATATATCAAAAAATGAATAAAAATGATAAAATAGTCATTTTATGTTCATCAGGACGGTGCGAGTGAGAAAAAAAACATTACATGGATGGTCCGAGTTAATTTTTGAAAATAAAAACTAAATGCACAATTTGACGCATGAACGAGAGACGAATCGTGTAATTTACTCTTTTTCTAAATTATAATTATCAAAAGTTAAAAATTATCTAAATTTTAATACCAAGTGTACCGGTTAAGTTTTTCGATTGGTAAAAATGTTTTTTATGCATATTAGTAAATTATGGATTTTTTACAACTATAATAATTAAGACTTTTCAATTTTGTAAGAAATCAGACCAAATATTTTTTTTACATATTACAATTGTTTCGGTGTTCTAAAAAACAATATTATTGTATGAATTAAATTTGGTTTATAGTTAAATATAACAAATATCTATTATTGTGTTCGATAAATATTAATAAATTACAGAAGTTATTGATATGTTATAAATAAAAACACCATAGTCGTTAAAATTATATGTATATTTAATCATATATAATAATTACCAAAAGTATGGATATGATTAGAGGGTACTTAAGTCAATTTGTTCAAATTTAACATAAAAGGTTTTTGCTAAATGTTGGTTAAAATAATTTTTGGATTTAGAGTTTTTTGTTTACCCCAAAAGCTAAAAGTTTCTTCTGTCGAATGATTTTTTTAGAGTTTTTTGTTTACCCCAAAAGCTAAAAGTTTCTTTTGTCGAATGATTTTTTTAGAGTTTTTTCTTATAAACTAGAAACTAGAAACCCCAAAAGTTACGTAGCAAATACTCCTTATAACCATTGATATGTTCAATTAAAAAAAGAGAAACAAATGTTGATAATTTGGTTTGTTCAATTAAATAAAAGAAAAATAAGAGTTGATAATGAAATTTAATATACATGTCTATTTTGCAGCATAAACCAATAAATTAGTTTTATGAAATTTATAAGTAGGGATGGCAAAAAACCTCATACCCGAACCCGAAACTCATACTTGTTTTGACTGGGGAATCCTTAAGTTGACCAGGGATGAGGACAGGGATCGAGAATCCCCGAATAAAAAAGTGGGGATGTGGATGAGGATAGGGATACCCCTAATCCCCGACCATGGATCCACCCCCGATATATATATATATATATATAATATATATATATATATAATATATATATATATATAATATATATATATATATATATATATATATCACTGTTGTAAAAATCACGACTAGGTCCCGATTAATCCCTAGACGCTACCCAACCGATTAGATAGCGCTTAGCAATTAATCTCTGCCTACAAAATGTGTGAAGCAGTAGAAACGATGAAATTCTAATACTTTGAATAAGTTCTAACTCAATAAAAACTATTTGACAAATGATTAGTGTTGTATTAATCATATTAACCTATTTTATTATGATATTAGTAGTATTTACGGACTTTGTTATAATATTAGTCATTTAATTTTTTTAAATTCAACTAATAATCTCTGCCTACAAAATGTGTGAAGTAGTAGAAACGATGAAATTTTAACACTTTGAATAAGTTCTAATTCAATAGAAATTATTTGACAAATGATTAGTGTTGTATTAATCATATTAACCCATTTTATTATGATATTAGTGGTATTTATGGACTTTGTGATGATATTAGTCATATTTAATTTTTTAAAATTCAACGAATTAGCATTCAATGGTCTCCGATTAATCTCCGCCTAGCCGATTAATCCCTTAACCCCAGTTCACCGACTAGCTAACGTCGAACGTTTTTTACAACCTTGATATATATATATATATATATATATATATATATATATATATATATATATATATATATATATATATATGAAAATAGAGAAATTAAATATCCTCCTACATTTCTTCCTACATATCCTCCTACTCATCTTTAATGGTGACATGTGTGACACAAGTATATTAAAATATTGTTATTTTCATTAAATGATGACACATGTCATCATTTAACATGGGTAGGAGGATATGTAGGAAAAAAATGTAGGAGAATATTTAATTTCTCATGAAAATAATACAAAACATATATTTATAGTATTAATTTACAATACACAAAATTTGATTCAAGTAACCTAACTCATTAGTAATTACTTGGTTGAAATTATACTTATTTTTTCTTTAATCTAATTTAAACTCATGTATAATTTTTTTTCTCTTTGGTTTATCTATTTTACCTCAAATATCAATCTGATAATTTTTTTATGCTTGATTTTTTATGTATGTATTTAAATTTGTTAGGAAATTTGTTTATATTTTTTATGCAATCTATGAATATTTTTTTATATTTTGTAAAATCTTTAAACTTATGCTCGTAAAATTGAAATTTATAGTTGTTCTTTACGTAAAAGTTTTCATATTAAATGAGAAAAAATCATTGATTCCCCGGTGGGATCTCCGGTCCCCGTTGGGGGTGGGGATGGAGGTTTATTTATATTCTTCATTAGGGAGGAAGATAGGGATGGGGATGAGATTGGAATGAGGATTCGAAGATAGGGATGGAGATTAGGTTCCCTGTATTCCTTGCCCCCGTTGTCATCTCTCTTTCTCTCTCTCTCTTCTATATATATATATATATATATATATATATATATATATATATATATATATATATATATATATATATATATAGAGAGAGAGAGAGAGAGAGAGCGAGAGAGAGAGAGAGAGAGAGTAAGGATCATTTGAGAACTAATAGTTTCGTGAGAACCCGAGAACTAAATGTGGAACGTTAGATAGAAAAACGGATGACCAAGATCATTGTGGCATTTTTGTAAATAAATAGAAACTCATAAATGCAGGGTATCTTAACTTAAAAGGGAAGGGGCATTATAGGAAACACAAATTTAATTGAAGAATATCCTAAATGACAGATCTGATAGACTGATGAAACACATCTCGTTCTCTCTCCCTCTCACTCTCACTCTCTATCATGATTTGGCGTAATCGATGCAAAGCTCGATTTGTTCCCGTATCAGCAATCTGTTGATGTTTTCTTCTTCGAAAACACACTTATTTCTTTTTTCTTTAGAAACAATCGTTTCAACAATCCGATGATCCCAGCCTATGTTCGTCAGTTTTTGTTGTGATTTGATTGGAAGAGGAAGTGGCGGTGTTGCGATGAATCCAAAATCGATCGTGAAGATCAATGTAGCTGACTATGCGACACCAAATATCGAGGTTGTTAATTACATCATAAAACGTACATTTGCGATCCACCGACAAACTACTGGTAAATCTTTTATATCTATATGAGTTTAATAAGAGTTTTGATTATGCCTTGAATTTTCAAATTAACTGCAATCGTTTATTTGTATGTATTATAATTTTGATTTTGCGATGAAGTTTTCACAAAATTTTGCTATATCTATAAGTTAGTGTAAGAAATTGAATGGCTGATTCAATATAATTTCTCCTTGATTTTAACTTATTTTAAGCTTGATTCCTTTTTTTTCATTCACTTTAGAGAGAATCAAGAATTCTTGGATGTAACAAAAGGCACCACTTAGTATAATTGGCCATTAAATTCTAGTCGGTTATTTATTACATTTTATATTTTTTAAATTTAAATCAAATCAACTATATAAACATTTTATCCAACGTTATAGGTTGTGTTTGTGTTATTTATTATGCACATGTAATAGTCTATCAGTTGTTTATTGAATTGGATTATTGAATTGGATAGTATTTCCAGATTGTAATTTATTCAATGAAATCATATACTTCGTGCACACCAACTGTTCGATAAATTGACAACTTTTCTAAATAGGTTGGAACTACAACAACTTACCAGTGGACATGATTATATTCATCCAAACAATATGTTCTGCCTTTTAGCTTCATCAATTCTTATAATCACCTGGCTCAAATGAAAACCATCTGGTAATTCCATTCCTTTCTGATTTCATTCCATTATACAAATCAAGACATAAGTTTCATCTATTATAAATCTATAATCACTACACATTATAAAAGAAAAACATGGGGTATATGATGGATCGTAATCAATACCATTAATATTTATTTTAATCATAATAACAAGTAAATAAATAATCATTAACTTTATTTTTTTTATAGGAGGTCAGGTGGTGAAAGATGCAAAAGAAAATAGTGAAGAGAATCACTGATGAATTGGTTCAGGAAATTTTAAAAGGTACCTCATGATTATATATAATTATATATATTTTGTTGATTATTTGGTGGGTTACCAAATATTTATATTTTTATATTATATTATTTGAACATTTTTTTTTCAAATGTAAATGTTATGTGGTATATTGACATGTGAATATAACATGATAAATGTAACAAACTTTCAAAAAGGAGGACATCATCAGCTTAGTACAGTGCATAAGGTGATAAATTTTACAATGACATGATATCGATTTACATGTAAGTCGCATGTGAATCACATATGAATTACATGTGATTCACATGTAAATTACATGTGATTCACATGTAAATCACATGTAATTCACATATGAATCACATGTAATTTACATGTAAATCAAAAGTGAATCACATATGAATTACATGTGATTCACATGTATATTACATTTGAATCACATGCAATTCACATATGACTTACATGTGATTCACATGTAAATTACATGTAATTCACATATAAATCACATGTAAATCACAAGTGAATTACATATGATTCATATGTAAATCACATGTAATTCACATATGAATCACATGTAATTTACATGTAAATCAAAAGTGAATCATATATGAATTACATGTGATTCACATGTAAATCACATTTGAATCACATGTAATTCATATGTAAATCACTTATGAATTACATGTGATTCACATGTAATTCACATATGAATCACATGTATATCACAAGTGAATCACATATGAATTATATGTGATTCACATGTAAACCACATAGGAATTACGTCTATATGCAGACATGCATTTTGTGTGAGTGTTCTTTGTTAATTATTTTTTTATTTTTTCTTGTGAATTTTACATGTAAATCTTAAAGATACAATTACATGTGAATATCACATTATATAATCACATGTGAATCTTACATGATATATACATATGTATTTTTGTGAGTGTTCTTGCATTAAGCGATTTTTTTTTAATTTTTTAATTTTTTCTTGTAGATTTGGAAGAAATTGTGTTGAATATTGAAGAGTTGAAAAATGATAAATTGAAGAAAATATGGAAATATTGACACGAAGACATGAAAACGCTTTGAAATTTTGTAGCATTTTTTTTTGTTTTTGATATTTTATATTGTATCGAATAAAATGCTTATTCTATTCTGTTTATAGATTAGTAAATAAAATGAGTTTTCTTATGATTCCTTTACAAATATTATAATATATGAAATATGCATATATGCACTTGTAAAGATATTCATAAATGTACCAAAAATATGTATATATGCACCTAAAAAATGCAGTTTTTTTTAAATAGTGTCTTTTTGAAAAAATTTGGCTTTTCAAAAAACTGCAGTTTTTTAAAATAAATGCATTTTTTTAAAAAAAAATTACAGGTTTTTTAAAAAAATTTAGTTTTTCTTTTTGAAAAGTTTGTAGATTTTTTTTTTAAAAAAAATATTGTTTTTTAAAAAAGGAAATACAATTTTTATTTTTATTTTTTTGAAAAAATTGCAGTTTTTTTTTAATTTTTAAATTGTTGTTTTTTTGAAAAAAAAATGTAGTATTTTTTTTTAAAATGCTGTTTTTTTAATATTTTTTTCATTTTAAGAAAAAATCATGTTTTCTTAAAAAAAATTAAAAGATCTCCATTTTTTTTTAAAATCGAAAATAGTTTTAAAAAAAATCTGAAATTTGAGTTATTATGTTAATTTTTAAAACTTTTTATTAATGTTTCCAATAACACAAAAAATTAAACATTAAATGCGATTGGTATGATTACGATCATGCCCTTATTGAATTAGTTTTGATCTAACGCTTCACTTTTAGTTCTCGGATTCTCGGGAAACTATAAGTTCTCAACCGATCTCACCCATATATTATATCTATATATATATATATATCTATATATATATATATATATATATATATATATATATATTGTAACGCCCCGATTCTCAGGTATTGTTTAAATAAGAATTTAATTGGTTTCAAGGCCTACTCGACGAGTTGGTTGCCCTACTCGTCGAGTAGCAACGGGTTTGGTACGCGTGTTTAGTGACCTACTCGCCGAGTCCATGAAGGGACTCGACGAGTAGGAGTTGGCAGAGGAAACCCTAAATCTCGGGGTTTTGCACCCTATTTAAGGAAGCATAAGCCTCCTTTGGCCTCTTTGCAGTTCTAGAGAGCTCTTAAGAAACCCTAATTCGTGTGGTGCTCTATTGTGTGTGCATTAAGCTTAGGAGGAAGATCTTTGGAGAAAAGGAACTTGGAAGGCAAGGGAATTGGAGCAAGGAAAGTGTGGGAATCAGAATCTACCTCAGTTAGCATCTTCCACAGGTATCAAGTCGCCACCTTTACTTCTTTTCCCTTCTAGATCTCTTTTTGGTAGAGTTTGGGGCTTTTATGGATCTTTGAGTTGATAAGGTGGACTATGGGCTAGATCTGAAATTGTAACTTCAGATCTGGACCCTTCTTAAGTCCTAGAGTCATAAAGTTTATGGTTTGGGCGTGATTGAAACCTCTTTGAGTATGAAACCCCCATTGTAAGCTTGGATTTGACATTAAGAGCCTTTGTAGCTATGCATGCACGTAAAGTTTGCAACTTTACGTGAAAAGCATGCCTTAGAAGCTTGGATATGTAGTTTGGAGCCGCTGCATGGCTCAAATGAGTCTGTATGGCAAAAAGGACTGAAGGGACTCGGCGAGTCGCATGGTCGACTCGGCGAGTCATATGAAGATAGGCATGAACTCGGCGAGTTGGAAGAACAACTCGGCGAGTCCAATGAAGATTGCCGTAGACTCGACGAGTGGATGAACAACTCGGCGAGTCGGATGAGGTTGCCCCAACTTATGTATGTGCGGGTAACTGTCGAGTTGCAAGAAGGAAGCTCGACGAGTGGCCTTAGGGTCTCGATCGTAAACCAAAGGAACTCGACGAGTCACTCAGGTGACTCGGCGAGTGGGTTAGTACTTAAAGGAACTCGGCGAGTAGCTGAGGGTACTCGGCTGAAGGGTTTTGAGCATTCTAACACTCCTGAGTGTACATGCAACCCTAAATACCTTGGATCTATGTTTTCTCTATTATACATGGAATTATGAACTTTCCAAGGTATTACCCTATCTAACATACAATACTTGATACTTGGGTAATCAAATGGATAGAATACATACCTTTGTTTGATGTAGCTTGTCTCCATGAAGCTTGAGTGCCTAGTGCCCCAAGTGTGACACCTCAAATGGTTCACACAACACCAAATGCACATGTTATGTTGATGGTTGTGAGGAGTTGTGAGATCAGTTGTGGGATAGGCGATGTTTTCCTAGGAGTAAGGGTTAAGCGCATGTTATGTTGATGATAGTGTTAGGGTGTTGTGGTGATACTGTTGGATTAGTGTCTAAGTCCATAACTATTTTGGTATGTACTTGACCCGATTATGAGCATGGTCCTTTTGGGTTGCCTTCACCATAGCAATATGTAGGATGAATTAAGGAGAGAAAGGTTTAATTATGATTTATTAATATATTATAAGGATAATATATTAAAGGAGAAATCATATTGTTTAATTAATATTAGTCAAGAATTAATTAAGAATTAATTTAGTGGCTAAAAGAGATTAATTAAACTTAAGGGACTGGATTTGTAATTATAAGATAATTACAATTGGGCTATGGATCACCTAATAATATATAGGTTGGACGAATTCTATGGGAAGCCCATTAGAAATCGTCCAATGGATATGTTAAAGGAGTCCATGGGCTGCTTAGGGCCTAAGCAGCCAGATTAGGGTTTCCTAGTTGTAAACCCTAATAACCTACATGTATATAAAGGACCCTTAAGCCCCAAAAACGTGGACAAGTAATCCTTTAGGGTTTCCAGCCGTTTTGGTGCCTCCTCTCTCCTCCCTCTTCATCCAAGTTGCTTAGTGGTGTTTGTGACTCCATTAGAGGTGCAACACTTGAGGCACTAAGCTTTCTGAAGCCAATCAAAGCAAGGATTGATTGTTATTGCTATATAACAATCAAAGGTAATTACTAAACCCTTATTTCAGTTCTTATTTGATAGATCTAGGGTTTATAAGTCTTGGATTCAAAGCATGTACAATAGAGAAACCTAGATCCAAGCATTAGGGTTTGTATGAGCACATAAGATTGTTTCTTATGCATAAAACCCATCAGTGGTATCAGAGCCTTGATTGGTTTCAATTGTATGTGATGCTTAACTGTTTTGCTTGCTGAAAATCGAGTTTTTTGCCTCTGCCCGACTCAACTCGGCGAGTCAGTATCTGGACTCGGCGAGTTGGCCCTACTCGGCGAGTTCAGAGCTGACTCGGCGAGTTTGTGCGTCAGGCAGAGGATATTTCGAGATTTTGTTGCTATTTTGACTTGGATTTGATGCCTAAATCGTTTTTTGAAGTTAAAATCCGAATTTTATCTTAATTAAATGATTATCCTTGCCAAAACACAAGATAATTACCAATTGATTAGATAATAAATTCCTTATATGATTAAAATTGATTATTTGTATTAATTGGGTAACTTATCTTGCAAGAAATTGAATTAGGTCAAATATAGATAATCACTAAATTAATTGTTTGATATTATTTGTTATTTGATCCCTAGTAAGTTTGAATAGTTTCAAATTACTCCCTTTAGGTTTTATAGTTTAAATTTGAACCTAAAAGTTTGTTTTTGAAATTTAAATAGTTAAACCCTAATGTTTTGAAATGTTTCAAAACTTGCCCTCAAGTTTTGGAATTTAAAATTTTGATTAATAGTTTAATTATGTAATATTTAAATTCTAAAACTCGAGTATTTTGAAAAGTTCAAATTACACCCTCATGGTTTTGTTAAGTTAATTAAAAGAGAAAGTTAATAAAACCACCTAGTATTTTAAAAGTGTAAAATACACCCTATACTATATATATGTAACATTAAAAGTCTAATATTATATATATGAGTAAAGAGTCAGTCTTACCGTTAGTAGGTCTCATTCACGAAGCTGTTCTATAAGGGGTGTTTAAGGAAATTGCCTATAAAATGACGATTGAATGGGTATCCACTCTTACCCACCGCACTCTTGACTAGTGGAGGGTCGTTAGCCGAACGGGTAGGATAGGACGAAACCTTCCATTATAAGTATAATGAAGTACAAAGTAACTAAATGCTTTTATAAATTCCCAAATCATAGTTACTTTAGGAAAAATGTGGAATTGTATGCTAATCCATGGAATTACACTTTGTACTTTTGTCGAAACGTTAGTGGAGCGTGTGTGGTTAAACGACACACTAATTTGGCATTGACATTGGTGGCGAAGGGTGGCTCGATGTTTATCATAGATCAATGGAGCGTGTGTGGCTAACCGGCACATTGATTAGGTGATAGTAGCAATTGGGTGCACCACGTGATTCGTATGGTTATTCACACCTTGTTTGTGATCCTCGGCATCCCAGTCACAAATAGAAGGGCATAATCGAGATTAAACATGCAATTGAAAAGTTCAATGAATCTCAAAAGATCTAGGAGTTTCAATTCATTTAAAACTTAAATTTCTTTTTCGTTTTTCATGGTGGAAATTGGTAAATCGTCATTTACTTACCTTCAAATATTCTGCAACTAGATTACGGCATCCCTCTTCTAGGTTGTAGAGTATTGTGTTGGATCCTAGCCTTGATGTTTCATTTGGGTGTTACATCGAGGATTCTTATCAAATAACTTGAATTTTCTCCCGTTTTGTAGATGTCTAAATCTTACAATGGTCTTCCCAAGTCCCTTGGAACAAGCTTTCCAAATGAAGATGACGTTCCACGATACGATCAAGGAAATGAGAGTCATGCTTCACTTCCTCCACCTCCTCCAATTATTCTCCCTGACCCACAAGTTCAAAGGCTTGAAAAGTTCAAGCTCACTCAAGCCCTTTTGGCAAGTAAACACGAAGATGGGAAACTTGTGTGTGCACACATCTTAGAGATGAAGTCACACATTGATAGGTTAAGGATGATGGGTGTCGATATCTCAGAAATGTTGGCTGTTGACTGGGTTCTTCAGTCACTTCCTGAATCATATAGTGAGTTCGTTAGAGAGTACTATATGATGGACCATGGCGT